ATACTGAGGCATGCCTTTGGAACTGCAACAGAAGGTGTCTATCTCCGGATTAGATCAGATGGAAAGCTCTTTAATCTCTCTAGATTGAGAGCGAAGAACAAAGTCCAACTGAAATGCATGCCGGACTTCCTCTTTGCCGATAATGCAGCCATTGTTGCCCACTCTGCTGAAGACCTCCAGCAACACATGAATTGTTTTAGCAAGGCCTGCCAAGACGTTGGACTAACAATCAGCCTGAAGAAAACACAAGTCATGGGCCAGGGCGTGGACTCACCTCCCTCTATTACCATCGCCATGCAAGAATTGGAGGTTGTTCATGACTTTGTGTACCTTGGCCCAATGATCTCTAACATTCTGTCCCTAAATGTTGAGCTGGATAAACGCATTGGGAAAGCAGCTACCATGTTCTCTAGACTCACAAAGAGAGTATGGCTTAAGAAGAAGCTGATGGCATATACAAGATCCAGGTCTATAGAGCCTGTCTCCTGAGCACACTCCTGTACTGCATTGAGTCCTGGACCCTTTATGCATGGTAGGAGAGGAAGCTGAACATGTTCCATATGTGTTGTCTCTGACGCATTTTTTGTATCACCTGGCAGGACAAAGTTCCAAATAGAGTAGTCCTAGAACGAGCTGGAATTTTTAGCATGTATACGTTACTGAAACAGCGACATCTACATTGCCTTGGGCATGTTGTGAGAATGGCTGATGGTCAGATTCCAAAAGATCTCCTGTATGGAGAATTAGTGCAGGGAAATCGCCCCAGAGGGAGACCACAGCTGCGATACAAGGATATCTGCAAGCGGGATCTGAAGGCCTTAGGAATGGACCTCAACAGATGGGAAACCTTGACATCTGAGCGTTCAGTCTGGAGGCAGGCACTGCATCATGGCCTCTTCTATTTTGAAGAAACCCTTGTCCAGCAGTCCAAGGTGAAGAGGCAGTCCTGAAAGCAGTAAAATCAGGGAGCTGGACAGGGGGCAGATTGTATTTGTCTCCAGTGTGGAAGGGATTGTCACTCTCGCATTGGCCTTCTCAGCCACACTAGACGTTGTTCCAAGTCCTCCATTCAGAGCATCTTACTATAGTCTCTCGAGAGTGAAGGATGTCTATTCAAAATCAAATGAGAAAAGGTGAAGTGACTTTGGCCAAACTAGACACAAGATTGTCTTTGTATATAACACATAGGTTAAATAAATAGACAACAAATAATTTCTACAGGCACTAATAGGAAACATCTTTACTGCCCTTTTCTTGTACCACAGCATGGAAATGGATGGTTAAATTTCTCTTCCTGCCTGTTACGATTCCTTTAATTATCAGTGTCCCAAAACTTGCAAGTCAAAAAACCCCTGCATGTTAAACACAAAGTTGCATTTAACACAATACCCAGTTTCGAACTTGCTTTCCTTTTCTTTCTCCTAGCACCCTACATCCCCAGAGCACCCACTGCATCCACATTCCTGCACTAATGTTTGGAAGCCCGGAATTCCTTGGGTGAAGTGAGAGGGAAGGCTTTGGAGTCCAGCCTCATGGAGGTTGAGGGGGAAAAGACCCATGCAGTTTGTTCTGCCCCAGTGACTTTTGCTTTCCAAATATTCCTAGAATTAAAAAGAGAACTACAGAATCTTGATCAGATAAAAAAAGTTTTCTAAAATTACTGTATATCTGGTATGTGAAGGGCTGAAAGACAGCTATAGACACTGAGTAAATCTAGCTTCAGCTGTATAGTATAAAAGAGTGTAAGGCAGGAAGATAGCAAAGTGGTAATTTTGGAGCATAAGAGTTTTCAAATTACACAGATTTCTTCATCTGGCATTATGGGGGTTTACTGAACCCTGAAGAGAGGTGAAAATGTTTAATCTGAAGGCTTGCATAGTGCCCCAACAAAGTTACACTGGCTAACTTAACTGGTATATT